CCTCTGCCTCTAACACAGCAGTGATGTCTTGCTGCAAACTGAGTTCTAGAGAGGAAAGGGAATCATCAGGAGCAGAGTGAATTCTGGCTTGTAACTTCTGGAGATTCAAAATCAGCATCTCTTTTTTGGTCAAAATATCCCCAAACACCTTCTTGTTCCACACTTTCAGCGGACTGAACAAATGCGATAAGGAGGTAGATACATCAAAGTTGGGATTCCAATGCTCTTTTAGGAAGGATGGGAAAGAAACATGCTTTTGCCAAGCAACCACAAAGCGAAAAGGTCTCTCTCTCCAATTAGGCACCTGGGGAGAGAGAGAGAGAAAAGCAGGGGATTGTGATCTGAGTCGAGTCTCGGCAAAGCTTTAACAGTTGCCTCAGAGAAGGCGGTTCTCCATAAGGCATTGGCACAAATCCTATCTAGTCTCTTAAAAACTCTATCCAGGTGCAACCATTTAGAACCTCTCCAAGTGAACTTAGTAATATGGCAGCCAAGATCCATGATCTTGCAGTCATCAAGGACCTTCATAAACTTTGAACACTTGGATAAATTGATAGGTGCACCCTCTTTCTTCTCATTAGCACTAAAAATCTCATTGAAATCCCCCATAACTGCCCAAAGAATAGAGATATTCTCACTGATTCGTCTAAGGTCTGACCAGAGAAAATTTCTCTCTTCCTCTCTAGGGCTGCCATAAACAACAGTAAGGAGGAAACTTGCACCATTGCTACAAGAACAAAGGACATGAATGAACTGATTACTTTTTTCAATGAGAGAAATCTTAAAAGAATCATCATTCCAACAGATCCAAATACCACCCATGAATCCCACAGCATCCTCAATCAGGTAGTTTTTGAATCCCAGATGTTTAATTTTCCTGGCAGCCGAGACACCACTGATTCTGGGCTCTAAAATTGCTGCCAAATCAACCTTGTGCTTCTTAGTGAAATTACGCAGGGTCATTTTAAATGATTTCTTAGCTGCTCCCCTGCAATTCCAGACAAGGCAATTCATTGAGAAACTTTGGGTTTTCCAAGTTTAGAGAGTACCTGGATACCTGTAACACATTGGTCTGCTGACTGTTCAGCCAACTTAGGATCAACATCCATCCCATTCACTTCTGTTTCTTGCAGGGAAGACTCCATAGAAATTTCTGAGGAATGGTCCTCTTCTAAAACATCTACAGACAGAGAAGTTGTTAGGGATTCCTCCACCAGAATTGGTTCAACAATTGGTTCGCTAATCTGGTGCTCCTCTCCTCCACACAAATCAGTACATTCCAAAGTTGGTACCAAGATCTCAGGCTTACTGATGCTAAGAGGTATGAAGTTATTTTCCTTTCCTCTCTTGAGGATCATCAAGGGGCCTTTAGGATTGGCAGTAGGGGATTTCCTTGGGATCAAAGGGGAACTCTTCTGATGTTTCTCACCGGAGATGCCAGCGGAGAAGGTCATTTTGGGAGGGTTGGAGACAACTCCCTCACCAGTTGATTTGTTGCCTTTAGAACTGGAAGGAAGTTCTTTTTTCCTGTAAACAGTAGCCTAAATAGGAAAGTTACTGGTTGCCATTCCTTTTCCTTTCTCAAAAGTTGCAGGCCGGCCCACATGCGTGTTTGATATGTTGGAGCCAAATTTCCCGGCTTCAGTGTTGGTCTTGGGCTGAAAGCTTGGTGTTGGGGTAGGAGTTCTGTCTTCAACTGGCTTACATGGTCTACCGGTATCACCACAGGAGATGGTTTGTTGTTTGAGTCAGGGCAAGTCTCTCCATTATGGCCATAACAACCACATTTCAAGCAGATAAAGTAAAGACCCTCATATTCTATTTTCCTCATTTGTTCATCAAGGATATATTCTCCTTTTAAAGGTTTGGATAGATCCAAGTCAACACAGACTCTGGCGAACCTACCTCTAGCTCCCGTAGAGGTAGTTTTATCGATTTTCAGGACTTTTCCAATTAGATTGCCTATGCAATTAATGAAAGGATATTCAAAGAATTCTTGGGCAATACATGGTAATCGAACCCAAGCAGCAACCTTGTGTATATTTGCTTTCTCTAGGTCGAAGCAAGGTTCCTATTTCCTCACCGCTAGGTAGTGTCCCAAGATGATCCACGGTCCTCCAGAGATGGCTATATTCAGGTCCTCCAGGCTTGTAAATTTCACCGAGAAGAACTCATTTCCCAAGTCAGCTACCATTATGGAGTCGTTCTTGGCCCAGAAATACTCAAGTTTAGATTTCACGAAACCAACACCTACTCTTTTGCCCAAGAGTTTCACAATGAGTGCTTGCTGCCAAGGATTTCTCATCCTAAGTTTGGCCTTTTTCAGAGTTTTGATTCTAATCGTACCGTCAGCCTCCACTTTGGTTTCGAAACCCCACTCTGACACTTTCCCATCCAAAGGGTTTGGTTCAGCTTCTTCCTCTTCTTGCATGTCATCTGTCCAAACAGTATTGTTACCATGAATGCCATTTTTCGCCCCTGTCGCCTCAGCCCACGATTTTGGGCTTGCTTCCTTCTTGTTTTCCTCCGGAAATCCCAGCTTGGTTACTTTCTCGGTTATGTCTTCTGAGGTTTCTTCACCTCCTTTAGATCTCTTGACGCTGCCCCTCACTCTCGCCGAGTAAGAATCTCCATTTTCCTTCATCGTATCTCTGTTTTTTCCCCAACCGAAGCCCTAGCAGAGAAAGAAACGTGCGCGTGACTTCAATCGCCTAACCCATTTCCCATTCTCTAAAAATAAGGTCTTATCTCATTTATATCCCTACCCGTGCGTCACACATGTTGACTCGTATACGGGCCTGCTCCGCACAAGAGTGTCAAATCTAGTTCATTCACACATTCCGAGATGCAAATTGTTGCACATATTGATTAGCAAACTACCTACTAGATCACACAAAGCTACAGAATGTCTGCTTCTTTTAGAACCCGCCTGTGGGACTTTGAATTCTGCTCCAAGCTGAAGCGGTTGCAGTTCCTAGACATAGGACATTTTTTTTTTTAGTATATGGACATTTGTTATTCGTTCGCATGCGTTTATGTTTTTAGTTTATGCTTTCTATTTTTGTTTCTGTTTGTTTTGGGGTTTCGCCCATGCCATGTACCCAAAAAAAAAAAAAAAAAATTAGTAAGTTGACAATTTCCGGGATCGGTTTGTACTGGCAATAACTTTCAAGAATTAAAGTGACACAGATAACATCTTTGAAGAACCAAAATGTATATTTACTCATTTATATATTTTGCAATTAAAACGGAAGTTAAAACTAAGTAATATACAATTTGGTCTTGAAACATGTTATTTGCATTGCTTTCCTGCCCAAAAGTTTTCATCGATACAAATTCTTGTTCAAAGGGATGAACTTGTTAGCAAGCTGACAATTTTTGTAGAGTTAACAATAAAATATGTTAATAAAAGTCAATAACTTCAGGAAAAATTTGCACAGACAAGTTTTGGCGGAGGAAGATTAGATGTAATATCTTTAAGGACCAAATTCTACATTCACTTTAAAACTAAACGCATTATTTGGGTGCGGGCAGAGCATCGATGCAAAGTGATGATTTCAATCTATCTATTCATTATAGAATTTCATTCATAAAACTTACATAGTGAGATTAAAATGTTTCAAGTACATTTTGAAGTCTGTTCAGTACGATTTGACATTGCAAAACGTCCCTCGTTAGCCCTAAGCAATGTCTATCCTTCATAAGTAGTAACTTGATTCGACCATAATATACAATGTATTATATACTTACCGGTAACCAGATATATGAATTATAATGGCATGTTGCGCATATTCGATATACAAGAATATTACAAACATCAGAATAACACATTTCCTTTCAATCATTTTATTTTTATCATACACGAGTCCTTAAACAAACTAATCGGCAAATTGATTAGCATTTTATGTATTAAAATCCCTTTACAAGTACGTGCCTTTTAAACATTTGGAATAATAACTGTACTTTTAACATAATTCCATGTAATAAAAAACGAACGAACTATGCCTCAAATATTGGATCCTTAATATTTCTATCATTATTTTTTTATATCCAAAACCATGCAACAACTTGTGGCCACTAAAGTATAAATGACTAAATAAACAAATCATGAAGCAAATGCGATCTAAAAAATCACAAAACATCCTTTCTAAACGAGATTGACGGAACTGTTACGCTACTCAGAGGCATAACATGGTCTTTCTGAATCACGGGTAAGATTGGAGCAGAAGCAACACTTAACTAGTCTAACATTGCGTCAGTAATCTCCTTGATTTTAAGGGCCACCCGTCGATATCCCCTTTCAAAAATAATGAACCACCCAATTACCAAGACCACATTCTCAATTCTGCCAAGGGAATCATATCTGAAGACTTTAACTAGACGGATTATTCATCAAATCAGATGCCAAATGCTAGGCTATTGTTTGTTAGTTGAACTATTAATCCATAGGCTCGACCAGATGCCTGATGCTTACACAACCCGCAGGGAGTGGAGGAGCATTTTACCAGAAATACAGCTAATGACAACAATTACGATAATAGCAGTTGATTATTCTGATTTAGATTCCATCTTAATATAGACAATATACTAGTCTATAGATAAATTAACCAACAAAAAAAATGAATAAGGGTATAAGATGGTACTGAGACGTTTGTCGAGTCAAACCAAAATGAAAAGGTTTTGTAAGATAGGTATTGCAAATAATCAAGTTTCAGTTTCCTTGATTAAACTTTTAGCCACCACATGCATGTACTTGAAAAATATAACCAGTTATCCCATAGCACACGAATTATAATAAGCATTATTGCTTTTCGAATAAATTCGTAAGGATGATGAAGAACATTCTAATTAAAAAATCAAAATTTGATTATCGGATTCATATTTGACCTAATGGAAAGCCCACAAGAACCCAATGAAAACAAACTGCAAAGAACATGAATTTTGATTTAAATAAATCAAGCATTTGTTTTGAACATGTCATTATTATTCTCATGCAGGGTTAACACACAGGTATCAATCTCAAGCAGTACAACCTACAAAATAAGATTGGATAAAGCATAACAGCACCCCAAAAGATTGAAATATCTATAGTAGACAAGCGAATTCCTCGTAGAATACGCCCAAAGTTAAAAGAATAAATACAGAGACTAGGCATCTAATAAATTCCACAAGAGTTAGCGTGCAATTATGCTGTAAATGGGAGAGGCCAGGGATAGGATGGGTGTAGCAGCAGACAGAAAATAGACGGCTAGATAAATAAATTCTTGAGACAATCCAGGCTTAGTTCCAGAGAAAACAAAAAGACCAGTCAACCCAAGTATCCAAGATCAGACCACTACTGTAAAATTTTAAGATCATCTCATGTTTAAGAATGCATTATTTTCCAAACCTTAAATCTTAAAGAGGAGAAAAAAAAAAACATAGAAGGAAAAACAGAAGGAAGCAAGGCATTCATCATCAACCAGTAAAACAAACTAAATCCTATAAAATGGAAAACAGCATCATAGTGAAATTTACAATTTCACAGCTATCACAAACCAGCTTCACATCAGGATCTTTACTATGAGGATAAAATCATACAAAGTGGTTTGACACACATACTCATGTTTGTACGTAAAAAGACAATACTTCACAGTACCCAAGGAGCAAGTGCACTCTACTAAAGATTAAAATTTGGTATTGTTGAGGAGTATCAACAGCAGTCTTGGGCAACACTGTGCAACCCAGAAAGGTATTGACAATAAACTCATACAGCACAAACCCGATGCAATTAAACAAGGGAACAATAGCTCAACGGAGGTGCCTCAGAAAAAAATAGGAACGTGAAAGTCAATCAAAGGCCTATACAAGTAAAATTGACAATATCACGATTTGAATACTTGCCAGACCATATTTAAAAAATGTTGTATGTGATTTTAAACAATATACAGAATAAAAAAAAAAAGGCCAACCCAGTTCAAGACCCACTCCGTGAGTGTCTGGGGAAGGAAAATTTGAGTCAAGCTTCACCCCTGCTTTGCAGGGGGGGCCGAGTCGAACCCCTGACCTGGAACACCACGATAAGCAAGCTTACCGCTGAGCCAGGCCGGCCCTTCAATATACAGAATAACTTATATCATAATTAATATCAAAAATCTGTTGCTAAGATGAAGGAGCTAATCCAAGACATAGTATTAGATAGTAAAACAATCAATACCACAATTTACTTAAAATGGACAATATAACGATTTTAATTATTTGCAGCCCATATTTAGAAAATGCTGTAAGTGATTTTCAAGAATGTACAGAACAACTGATATCATAACTCTTAATTTCAGAAATCTTCTGCGAAGTTAATATGTGGGAGCTGATCCAAGGCATAGTAATAGATAGTAAAACGGTCAATATCACAATTTATTTACAACCAGACCATCTGTGACTTTGGAAATTAACAGGATAACTGATATAAAAATCCCAAATGTAAGAATTTTTTGGTCAAGTAAAAATGCTTATTGGATGAGCAAAGTTGATTTACCATTAGATATTGTTGACAGCATTATGGTTACAACATGGCTTACATTATCCAAAGAAAATTATGAGGTAATCATAGCATCAAATCAACACGGTAGAACATTGCAACAGAAAATAAGGATAAACAAAACGAAATGAAACAGCCACAATATGAAACTAATAGTTTTAAAATTAAAAGGAAAATGTAACTAAATACAAACTCAGCCAATAAAAATAATCAAAATCCAGAACTATTTAATTAAAACATAGGCCAAAACAGTCCCAATAATCCAGCTAAAAGTACAAAACTAGTCTATCTCAGTGGCCTTAACTAACAACATTCAATGAATCAAAGCTTAAAAAGGGAGCAGATAAAGTCAAGAGGCTGTAAAAGGACATGCTAACATATTCATTACACCAGAGCACATAGTCTGCAATCACGCAATCACCAGAAGCATACAAAGCATCTGCGCCCAATAAGCGATGATACACCTGAAGCAAACACCCATTCAACTCAATTCTCATTTCACAACCATCATTCAAAAACATCATAATGTAAAAGCAAATGCTTATTGACAAAAAATAAAATAAAAAATAAAAAATCCTTGCTCACCCTTTCTTAGGAACCACATCAACAAACAGCCCATGTCAAGGTAAAATACACACACAACCCACATTACATTTTCCAAGATAATTTCAAGCAAGGGATAAAAAAAATACACAACAAGCATAAAATTGTAAAGGCAAAGTGGAAACACAAAAACAAACTATATACAACAACCATGAAATCATAAAGGCAATGAAAGATAAGAAGAACAAACCATACAAAAAATGAACAAACAAGCTGAGTGTGCAAGCAAATTGAGCAAAGCACAATGAACAAGTCATCAGAAGATCATAGAGAGGCCACTCACAAGTCAGTATCAAGGTTACTTTATAAATCAGGATGAAATGTGCACAGAACACATACATAAGCACTAGATAAGAGTCATGACAAAACACCAAAGGCAACTTCAGATTTTATGGCATGCAATTGGTCATGAATGAGAGTTGACAGCAAAAGTAACTAAATAAGGTTGTAGTCAAGGAAAAAGAAAAAGAACCAAAAAATGTTCCCAGTAATAGCCACCTTCCTGCTGTTGACAACAGAAATGCATCCCCTAGTTTTTCAGTAAATCAAGGATTTGTTTTGAACCTTTAACCGCTACCCAAATCCCCAGAAGCCTCCTTCCTTGCGCCAAATAATAGAAACAAAACAAGAAACCAACTCAAATCTAATTATGCACATGGCTAGTCAACTATTGTACTGTATGCAAATACAATGACAGATCTCTACTTTCTCAACAAAAATAAAAAGAAAATTCCCTTGACATGTATACGTTCATACACTTCAAACCTCACATCTCTAAATGAAAAGACAAAAAGTTTTGAAGAACCCCAATAATATCATATTCTCATCAACAGTTGTTAGTATAAGATAATAAGAATCTCATCATAATGGAATAAAAGAGAATTATAATTCTATGAAATCAATACATTTTGACCTTACAAGACAGCTTAACTGTCATCATTAAGAAAATAAAGAAATCTGATCTCTATTAGAGATGTGCCAAGTTATTTGGTAAATAATTAATGTATTCATTACCATCAAGGACTACCAATAATATAAAATTAACTAACCAGACTAACATGTGAACAAAACAGTTGGAAATAATAATATCAAATAAAATAAAAGTTAGAAAGAAATTCACAGGCTTAAGCATATCCACACCACACTAGAAGGCTGGAACTAATATACAGATTTGCAGTTCCATCACAAGGTCAGTATAAACAAACTTCAATTTACCATTTATCTAGCTATTGTTGCATCAGATAATCACAACATTCATTGATGAGGTTACATGATCTCCAACAACCACACAAGCTATCGGGGACGTCCAATTCAATTTAATAAATATTTTGTAAGATCACAAGCAAAAAGGCGAGCCTAAAACATAAAGCTACTCCTTTGTAACCGAAAGGTCACAGGTTCAAATAAAAATGGATAAGGTTGCATATAAGGATTGTCCTTACTCCTACCCTTGCTAGTCAGGTTTAATAAGAAATGATTTTTTTTTTATAAGATCACAAGCAAGGAAATTGAATGGTGACAAATAAATGAAGACATTACCACTGAAAAAGAGGGAAAATACACCATACATGATATATCTAATCATACATCTTATGAAATTGGTATATCATGACAGTGCACACTATGATTGAAATAGCGCCGCTTTAGCGCGCATTAGCGCTTCAGTTGCGTGTTGCGGCACCCAACCGCTATTTTCGCACCGCTACGCGACGGTTTCCGGTAGCGGTCAGTAGCGGCTGGTTGCGGCGGTGGCGGACGGAAGCTCTTGTGGCGCTATCGCACCCCTACAGGGAAAGGAAGAGAAGTTACAGACATTCAGGGGAGAAAAAGAAACGTAAAAAGCACGGGTGGCAGCATTTTGTAAATCTGAGTATCATTTAAGGGTATAATAGGAAAAGGCCAGAATAAGTGAGGGGTAAAATAAATATTTTATTGAAAAAGCCAGCGTTTTTTTTTGGGTAACGTCATCACCTTCCTTTTTCTTCATTGATTTTGCTGCCAGCTTTTGGGAAATGTGTCCGTAGCGGTGCTTGGTTTGATAAAATTTAATAATGCCACCAAATACATCAACATCAACATCAACATCAACAACACCTTTATCCCAAATTAATTGGGATCGGTGGTAGATGAACCCACATGAAAGATACAAAACGGTTGAAAAAAAGTAAAAAAAACAAAAAATAAATAAATAAAAATAAACAAATAGAAAAAAGAATAAAATAAGATAAAATAAAATAAAAATAATATAAAATAAAATAAAAATATATGTATATATAAATAAATAAAAGTAAAAAAAGAAAGGGACAAGAAGAAGTGGGGGAAATGAAGGGGAAAAGGACTAAAAAGGGACCATCTAGAACATAGGAATAACAGTGGGTCTAACCCTCCACCATACTTATAGCTTTTCTCCATTCCGTTCTAAGACATACCCTCCGCCAATCTATATCCCACTTCATTGAATCTTGTTTTACTACCTTCCCCCAAGTAAGCTTCAGCCTACCTCTGCCTCTTTGTGTGTTTAGCTCTTGATAACAAACTTCTGTTCTTACAGGAGCATCCATGGGTCTTCTCATCACGTGCCCAAACCACCTCAATCTATGCCACCAAATACATAATTAAAAAAAAAAAAAAAAATAGTGGGAGGAAGTCAAGAGAAAAAAAAAGTTTGTAGGTGATGCTGCAGCTACTGTTCAGATTCTTGGAAACTGAGTTTTGATAGCTCCTTCTCCTAGTTCACTGCATCATTACCCCTATTCTGCTCTTTCCTATTTTTATTTATAATCATAATAACAATAATTTCAAGTCCCATTGTTTTCCTATCCACCAATTCACATTTTAATCAAATATATTTATTTTTAATAATCAAGATTTATATTATATACTTTAAATAAATTATAATTTGCATGATCTTCTAATGTAATATAAAAATAATTTGTTACCAGAATATCTATATATATATAATTTAAATTTTTACATTTTATATTAAAATAGAAAATTACAAAATTATTATTGTTGATTTATTCATTAATATTTAGAATTCTCTCACATAAAATAAATCATACTAAATGATACATGAGATAATTGATCTTTTGAAGTAATAAGAATGACCTTAAAAAAATGTGTTTGGCTGTATTGTTATTAATTTAGTTACTTTCATTAAATTAATATGTTGGTTCCTTTATGTTCCTTGAATCCTTGTTTTGAATGTGTAGTATTATATTTTCCATTCCTCATTTCCTTCTATTTTGGGTGATTTCTTATCTTATAGAATTTATACAGTATTTATATATGTGGTATAATTTATTATAAGTAAATATGGACTTCACAGTAGCGGCTATAGCGTTTTGGGGGTCGGCCGCTACTGTCCGCTACCCGCTATTTAAAACTATGAGTGAACATAAAAAACAGATTATGATAAAAGATAAACACCCCATAACATAACCAAGGTGAAAAAAGGACAAACCCCATTGCACAAACCTCTCAAATTTTGTGTGGGTAGGTGTGAGGGTCGATTGTACACAGTCTTACCCCCTTACCCATGCATTCGTAACATTGAACTCATGACCTATCAATCCCAAAGGAACAGCAAAAGAACGGCCTTACCACTGCTCCAAGGCTGGCCCTCAACATTCTCACTTCACCACTGATTATTCATGAATAGAACCAACAGCATACACACACAATCCAATAATGCTAAAACTAAAACCAAATTGAATAGCAAATTACAGACAGACACAACACACAGTCCAAGTGAAACAATGCAAAGTAATGATATAACCAAATAAAACAGAGTGCAGGAAGTCAACCGAAAAACACAATAATAACGAAGGCACAAAAAATAAAAAAAATAAAACAATAAAAAAACCTAAAAACAAAGGTTGAAAATAACACCATTCAAAATAACACCATTCAAAATTACCTCAGTAGTAAGGGGGCACATTGGGATACATTGAACCAGGTGGAACCCTAGGCACAGGCGAAGCACCAGTAGGGGGATGATGCTGATTCTGGTAGCCAGATGAACCCGATAAACTATAATGTCCGCTCTCTTGATACCCACTAGGGGCGGGCATTCCAGCTGAACTCGGCAATCTATACAAAGAACCAGCTCCACCTAAAGCACCACCAGAACCACCAAGTCCACCAGCACCACCACCAACTCCAGCACCAACACCACCACTACCTCCTCCCAAACCACCACCACCACCACCACCCAATCCACCAAAACCTGTCGACCCGGGCCCACCATAGCCACCATAATGACCACCCAGCCCAGCACCGTAACCGCCAGCACTTCCCATAGCCGAAGGCGCCTGATTCCCCATCGAAGACAACCCACCAACAGACGAATTCAGAGGATGGTTACCCATCGGAGGTTGACCCTGAAGTCCACCAGGAAACCCACCATAAGAACCCAAACCAACCGGACCACCATACTGACCCGAAAGCGACCCAGGCCCAGAACCCGCTGAAGGAGCCAACCCCATCCCATCCCCATGACCATGATGAGCGTTCCCATGACCCTGAACTCCATCCGGCCCAACAGGCCCAGGCCCACCGCGCTTCCCTTGCTTCCCGTCAGTTATCGCGAGCTTGCAATTCAGCTGCCTCCCCTCCACGTTCTTCACCGGCTCCAATAGTGCTGCCTGTGCCCCCTCAGGAGTCTTGTACACAAAAAGCGCAAACCCTTTTGATTTTCCAGTCTGCTTGTCAAACCCTAACGGCCCCTCCTCGATTTCACCATAGACGGAGAAGTGTGCCAGCAGCTTATCCGCCGGGAGATCCGGCGGCACGTTAGCAACGTAAATCTTTCGAAGCGCAATGTCGGCGGCGTTGGTGTTGGAACCGGAATTCCCCGCCGCAGCGAGCTGCGTGACGGTGACGCGGCCGTCGATCCTTTTGCTTGGCTCCCTAAGAGCGAGGAGAGCACCATCAACGTGGCGGAACGTGACGAAACCGTAGCCCTTGGACTTTCCGGTGGCCTTGTCGAGGATGACGACGGCCTCCTCGAGGAGGCCGAAGGCGGAGAAGAGGGAGCGAAGGCCGTCGGTGGTTGTGTCCCAGCCGAGGCCGCGGATGAAGAGCTTGCGCTGGGAGACGTCGGGGTCGGCCACGATGCGGACGGAGTTGAGGACGTCAGGGTGGCGGACGGCGGCGTCCTGGAGGATGTCGAGGAGCTGGTCGTGGGTGAAACGCTCCATCATCTTGCGCGCTTCGGAGGGAGAGAGATTGAGATGTTCTGAATCGGCGTCGCCGAAGCCGTTCTCGTCGAGCTTGCGCTTCTTAGTGGGATCCATGGCCATATTAGATCGGAATTATGAAGAGATTGAAGATGAAGAAACGGTTAAACCCTAACCCTAAATCTCTAATTTAGAGCTCAGAAACTTGAGACTGAGACTGAGAGTTAGCGTGAGAAGCTAGAAGAATAAATAAAAAATATTTTTAAAATATATAGATAATAAATATTGGGTGTTTGTCTGTTTCTTGGACTGGGTTTGGTTTGTGTTAAATGTAACGTTTTGGGCCTCTATTCTTTCTTGGTAGACTTTGGGCCTCTATTTTATATTGCTTGGAAAATTTGTTTAAAATGTATATACTATAGTAAGATATATTTAATTTTTATTATTTATTGTAATTTAATACATATTTTCTATAATATTTTTTTGTGAAATTTATCTTTAAAATTATTGTTTTTAACGTATAACCATGAAGATACAGGTTACTAAAAATGTTTTATTTATGGATTATGAATAATGTTATACCTTTAAAAAAAATTGACAAAAAAATTTGGGAAAAGATTTCTGCTTTTGTTGCAGATTTTTTTTTCTACTACGCTAACATAAAAGTGAGTCTCACTAATCTTTTCTTTTTCTTCTCTTTATAATGGAGCTCACCCACTACTTTTATTTGAGTGTAACACCTCATTTTGGGCCGGTTTGTTAACATCTTTATGATATACAAAAGCGCAGTATAATTAAAGAATTAAGCGGAAGCCTTATTAAGAACATCACTAGTATCTTATGTACTACATGATTAACTTTTTCTTTATCTTTTTATACCTATATTCCTATTCCATCTGAATACCTTTATTTTATCTTTAACTGTACAATTTCATATTTGCCTGTATAATCCAAATTATTTAAACCATAATCAATAGTCATTCTCTATTCGAGTACGATATCTTGTACCATCTCAAATAGAAACAACTGACAACAATTTTACTGCAAACTGGACTATCCAAGGATGAAATCCCACATCAGATAAACATCTTGAAATCCAGAAAAGTCTAACCCAATATATACAAATATAATCCAATATCAAAACCTAAAATCCATCTTTGGATTCAAAAAGTTAATGGCTCAATGCCAATATTCTAATACTTAAACATAACAGACATACATACTTATACATCCTAAATCTCTTACTAAACCTGCTCTAGCCGATCATCTATCCACTTTGCACAAGCTTGTTGCCCATTGAGGTCTCTACTGATGCAGCATGGATTACATATTTCTAGTAATCAATTATTCTTCTTTTGATCATTTCGTCCAACCTTATGAATAGTATTCTGCATATTGAAAAAAAAGGAAAACTTTTTGGTACCCATTTCATCTTAGGTCCATGAGAGTTAGGATCAATGTTGGTAGGAAATTTTCTCATAATAAAGTTCTTTCTATGATAGCACAAATGAGAAATGTGTCCTATCTTACCACAATGATTGGATACGATGTGTGTGCAAGATGTCTTGTTCTTCCTAACATAATCAATTTCCTTTTTAGGACTACGTGCAGACAGAATCAAATCACACATATAATCAGAATTATTATCAGTAGGCAAGTCAGAATCCACAAGTAATGTAGAATCCACAATCAAATCAGTATCAACATTATTATTCACATCATGAATCACATTAATGCATGAAACTGAATGCTCAACCTTGACCCTAGAATGCTTCATGGCATCAAAGATACTAAAATGCACAATACTATCATCAAATTCTAAGGAAAGAGTATGGGTATATACATCTATCTTAGTCGTAGCTGTTTTTATGAAAGGCCTTCCTAGAATGATTGGGAGCCTACTGTTAGGAGAGAAAATCAATTCATTCACCATAACTAAAACATCTTTAATCAAACCAGTAAGGTGAGAACTACTCCTATTAGCTAGCTGGATAACAACAGCAGTGACATGTAAAGGACCAAGACCAAGAGAATCATAAACAAATTTAGGCATAACATTTATGGAAGCACCTAAATCTAGCATGCAATCATCAAATTTATAATTTCCTATAAGGCAAGGAATAGTAAACATCCCTGGATCATTGCACTTCTCAGGCATGGGCTGGATGACTGCAGAAATGTTTCGGCTCACGCTTACTAATTCATCCCCCTTTAGCCGCCTCTTGTTGGTACATAACTCTTTCAGGAACTTGGCATATTTAGGAATCTGGTTGATTGTTTCTAAGAGAGGAATATTAATTGCAACTTTTCTGAACGTCTCTAGGATCTCTTTCTCTTGTGTTGTCTCTGCCAGTTTCTTGAATTTGATGGCTCTCTGAGGGAAAGGAAAATGAATGGAAAACTCAGGCTCATCACGACCTTGCTTCCCTTGCACTATCTCCTCTTTTTCTAATGCTGGTTTAGTCTCAGATGTAGCTTGCTTGGGCCCTTCTAGTTGCTTGTCAAATGCAGCTTGCTTGGTCTCTTCTAGTTGCTTGCCAGACCTTAAGGATATAGCACTAAGATTCAGATTTCTCTTCGGATTTGGAACTGTCTGGGAAGGAACGAAATTCGTAAGGATGATGAAGCGCAAAATTTAGCACCTAAAAAGTTAGCAACCAAACAAGCACAAAAATATACAAAATATGTTTTATGCTTTTACATGGACATATTAACATTTAACATATCCAAAAATTCAAAATTTTATATAAAGATCATATTTTTACCGAATAAAAAATTAAAGATCAAGTCTTTATTCGATCAAAATGTCAAAGATCATATCTTTAACCAACAAAATGCAAAGTTCAAAGTTTTAATCGATTAAAACGTCAAAGATCAAATCTATAACGAACCAAAACATAAAGGTTACATTTTTCACCGATTAAAACGTCAAAGATCAAATCTTTAACCAACCAAAACATAAAGGTCACTTTTTGTAACCGATTAAAACATCGAAGATCAAATCTTTAATGAACCAAAATGTAAAAATCGCATTTTTAACCGAACAAAAGTACCCTAACTTGTCGATAGTATAGCAATAAGCTCTGATACCACTTGAAAGTAGCCTTTTGTAAAAGTGCTTGCATGATAACCCCGTCTAATTAAGTCAAAAAAGGGGAGAACTGTTGGAGGTATTTTTCTTCCTTACTTAAAGGTAGCCTACATATGGGTTTAAGGTGCACATGGCTCAAGACAACTTTAGTCAAAAGTTATGCACCTAGTTTGTTCGCTAATCATCTAGGCTTGGAAAAATTATGCCAAAGTTCATCTATAAATAGAGAAAGAAGAGAAGACTTGAAGCATCAAGCAAGCATTTGAGAGAGTTCCTCCTAGAAGAGAGAAATAGAGTTTCACCACAAAGGTGAGAGAGAAATCCTCCGAGTGAGAGATACAATTATTGTAATCTGTCCTTACTGGGTGAATTATTTGTATACAATCCTCTAGTCTTGCACTAGAGATATCATCTTTGTAATTCCATTTTCATAGTGGAAGTTTTTGTGGACCTATTAGTCCCATGAATTTTACTTCTCACATTGATGAAGTTTTCCATATTAAAATTTGTTATGTGCTCTATGTGTTTTTTTGTACTTCTTTGTTTTTTCGTCTAGTGATAGGTTTACTTTGCTTCCGCAAATAAGAATTGCTCCGAGCTAAGCTCCTTAACTAAATAGTTTGTATATCTAAAAGCCTTAATTCATATTTTCCTTGGACAAATTGATTTTTCATACGAAGTCTAGCATGTTAGGAAATTATATTTTCTAATAATTATTGTGGGTCACATATTATATTAATAATTATATTGTGCTATTTATATATATTGGGTAAATTAAAGTGATCAGTTAAATATTCCCAAATAGATTCCTAAGTGAGTATGAGCTGAATGAGTGGACACCGGTGTTGGGCCAACTAGGTATAATGGGAGCTTATTGGCCCAACAATAAAGATAAAGGCACTATAAGGGTTATGGTCCCCAAGACGTCAAATGACAACCCTAGTTTCTCTTCCCCATCAAGAGAGAGACGACACACTAAGGAATTTGGTTTTAGGGTGATTTGACTGAGGAAGACTACAAACCCCAATAGACAAGATCAAAGTTATTCCGTTGCAATGGAGACAGGTATGCCTCCACCTTTATGTTCTTATTTCTTTATGATTTGGTATGATGGAGTTTGGTTTGTAGGTGATAGTTATCACCAAAATGTTTAGAGGAATTAAAAATTTCAACAATTGGTATCAGAGCCATCGTCATATTGAACTATGAGGGAATTAAGTTTTATGATTTTTATATATAATGAATCATGAAAAATTTTGTTTTATTGTTTTTTGACATAAAGTTTATTATTCAATTTTTTTTAAATCTGAATTGTTATGTAAACGGTCTCTCTTCCATCTTTTATATACTATACTGTATACAATTGAAACCAACCCACAACAATTCTTGTTAACCATTTGAAATCAATTTTCGATTGTCGTGCCAAGTCTTTAATTATTTGTCGTGACTATTATTGTAATCGTAATTTTGTGAGTATAATTTTCTCGATTTTCGTGAATTGCATTGTTGGCAAATTTGTTGCACTGAATATGTTTATTGGCAATCGTCTTGTTTTACATGAATTGGTTATGGCATATATATATACGGGTTTTATAAGAATTATATTGTAGGAAAAATAATTGTGTAATGTTATAGAGATTCGTTTTGTATGCCTTAATTTTTTATTTATTTTTTTGTTTTAAAAAGTGTGAGTCCCACAAAATATTGTGAGGGTAGGAAAGTTTGTTGTGTTATGTTAAAGGATAAAACGAAAACCCTATATATATATATATATATATATATATATATATATATATATATATAATATTCAAACAATTCATATTAGTTTTGAATAGCGATTGTTAGTAATCACCGATTTGGATACATTGTATATTTCATGTTTACAATTGGTTTTAACGGTTGCACCGATACTGTTTGGCATCTCATAACTGTTAATATCATTGTCGTTATTTATTTTGTGATGAAAACAGTATGTATGAAAATACATTAAAATTGATAATAAATATTTTTTATATTTATTATTATTATTATTTTTAAATGAGTTTGTTGGTCGCAATGTTCTATTTGAAATTGAATATGATAGATTTGTTAGCCGCCACAGTGGCCAAAGTTATAAAGGTTAATTTGATTTCAAATAGGTTGGTCATATAAATATATTTTATTTATGCAAATAATAATCGGCCCACAGGAAGGTTATTGTTTGGCCAAATAACATAAGTTGTGTGATCATGTGTGTGTTTATTACTTATGCGGATAGTGATCGGCCCACAGGAAGGTTATTATTTGGCCAAGTAACAAACATACCTGTGGTAATAAATATGTGACAATTATCAAAAATTCTCCATGTAATTCATAGTCGGCCCACAGGAAGGCTATGATTTGACAGGACTTATATTCAATGTTTGATTACTACATTAAGAGTACCACTTACAAGTTGATATTTTTGTCCACAGACTAAATATTAATGTTGTGCTAGGTATCTTATAATAAACTCATTTTACTTCGGATTATTTGTCTATATCGTGTATGAATATATATGATATGACATGTTATTAGTATGTTATCTTTTTTGTTCTCTGTATAGTTTCTGTTACCGCTGCCAATTATGTTGCTCAAATGTATATGTTTCCAATGCTTAATGGAGCAAATTTCAAGCTGTGGAAAGAGAATGTGAAAATTGTTCTCGGCTGCATGGATCTCGACAATGCGTTAAGGACTGAGAAATCTACTTCCACTCAGGAAAATCCAAACACGGATAAAATTGAGAAGTGGGAACACTCAAATCGCATGTGTCTGATTATCATGAAACGTTCTGTTCCGGAGGCGTTTAGGGGCTCGATTGTTGAGACTACAGATGCCAAGTTGTTTCTGAAGGAACTCGAGCAATACTTTGCTCGAAATGAAAAGGCTGAAATTGGTCAAACCTTGTCCAAACTCATAAACATGAGGTATAAAGGAAAGGAAACATAAGGGAGTACATTATGGAAATGTCTAATCTTACTGGAAAACTAAAGGCATTAAAGTTAGAGGTTCCCTCTGAGTTGCTCATGTACTTAGTTATTATCTCTCTTCCTGCACAATACGATCAATTTGTGGTGAGTTATAACAGTCAAAAGGAAAA